TCATGGGGGACTTCAGCCAACCCAAAATCCACTAGAAGGGCAATAGGTCTGAGCACAAACAATGCGGGAGATATTTGGAGTGTGAAGATAATTTCTTAATGCAGGTGATCAATGAGCTGACAAAGGGGGGACCACTCTGCTGGAGCTATTGCTCACAAACAAGAAAGAATTAGTTGAAAGTATAAAGGTTGAGGGCAGGCCTACAGTGATTACGAGATGCTGGAGTTCAAACCACTGAGAGAAGTGGGAAAGACAAATAAGTGGAATCACAACCTCATACTTCAGGAGAGCAGATTTTTGGCTTCTTCGTAGATCTTCTTGGCAGGATCCAATGGGCAACTAGTCTGTAGGGTAAACAGGCACAAGAAGCTGATTGATCTCTTCATGGACCCTTTGACACACTCCTCAAAGCACAAGAACAGTTCATCTTCTCATATGCAAAAAAAGATGTCTACAGAAGTTGGAAGCAGGGATGAGATGCCCTGGAGGGATACTGAGGCATTGTCTGAGCATGCAGGGATGGAGATAGGAAAGCCTTCCAGTTGTGGCAATCAGGGGAGGTACTTGTTGGCTAGAAAAAGACAAATGTCACGTGCAGCATCAAGAAGGACAAGGAGGACCCAGGGAACTACTCACCAATCAGCCTGACCTCAGTACTTGGGAAGGTTATGGAGCAAATCTTTTTGGAAGCCTTTTCTTAGCACAAAAAAAGGACAAGATGGTGATTGGGAATATCCAGGCCAAATTTTACCCTTTTGTTTCCTTTAACACCGTTTACACACTTTTATGCCCTTTACCGAGGGTGAATTGTGCCTGCCCAACCTGGTTGACTTCTGTAATGAGGCGACTTGCTCAATGAATGAAGGGGTTTTGACTGCCTTGATTTTAGGAAGGTCTCCCATAGTGTCATTAGAGCCAAAGTGGTGACAGACCGACTTAAGTGAGCGATAAGGTGGGTGGAATATTGACTGGACCTTAGGGCTCAAAAGGTAGCTGTCAGAGTCACAAAGTTGAATTAGCAACAAGTTACCTCTGCATATCCCTCAGGGAATGAGACTGGGGCCAGCAGAGGACTATCGGGATGGTCAGGGGATGGAGCACATTACATCTGAGGGGAGACTGGGGGAGCTGTGTCTGTTCAGCTTTTAAGAAGACACAGCTTTGGACATACTTTGTTGCAGGCTGCAGCTACCTGATCAGGGTGTGCAGAGAAGATGGAGCCAGACTTTTCACAGGGGTGCACAGTGGAAGGATGAGAGGCAACAAAGCTGGAATATGGGAAGTTTCAAATCTGTACTAAGAAGAAGAAGAAGAAAAAAATGTCACAAGGGTACTCAAACACTGGCACAGGTTGCCCAGAGGGGCTATGGGATTGCCATCCTTGGAGGCAGTCAAAACTTGTCTGGAGAAGGACCTAAGCAACCAGTTGTAACTCAAGTTACTTTGAGCAGGAGGTTGGACTAGAAGACCTCCAGAGGTTTCTTCAAACCTGTATGATTAATTGATCTGGTGATTTTTTACGATTTATTCTGACACATTGGAGTTAGCCGTGGCCTGATGTCTGGATTCAGAATTAATTTAGGGAAGTCCTGTGGCATCTGCCATGTAAAAGTTCAGTCTGAATATCTTGAGTGTTCCCCTCTACCTACGTATCATCATTCCAGATGGAGCTTGGATGTGATCTGATGTGGCAATTTTTGCATTAATTTACAGTTAACTATAGCAATACTGGCATGTGTTAATTTGATTTGCCCTTAGAAACATGAACTGATGTGACTATTCCTTTTGTAATTAGTACCAAATATTAATAAATCATTATAATAAAAATGATTTTTTTAAAATTTGAATTTACTGGTTTAGATAATAGTTTTTTCACATTTATATACTATTTCACATTTATATTAAATCTTTCATTTGAAGTGGTCATGAAGCTTTAAAACCTCTCCAGTAAATAAGTGCCACTGGGTACCTGCATGGCACAGACTTACATTGTGGTGGAGGAGGTGTATTGTTACAGGCTGTCTTTCATCTCCTTGAATGGCAGAACTATGCTTCTTGGAGAGGTGATGTGTGTCGTGACACTCGGGGAAGGTTTAGCTATTTTGCCTCCATCCAGTCTTGCCATTGGATGCAAAAAAGAGGTGGAAATGTTTTCCTGCCCATTCTTTCGCTCATGGGCAGTGCATAGTCAGTAGTGGAAGAAGTAGCACACCCAACTACCCTTGTAGACAGCTATAAGCAGATGTCATGTCTCTTCTTTCTGTTTTGTTTAGTCATGGCCATAGTTACAGATTTAAATCTATAGCAAAAAGACATTCACCAGTGATGAAATACAGCAAAATGAGAAGGTGAGCACAGTGACTTTTTAACTATGCACAGTGACATGCCATAATAATTCTTGTGAGAAATGAAGAAAGACTTTGTGGCTTCTTAGGTCAGTTTTCATACTGGCTATAAGCACATTACATAGAGCTCTGTTTATGACCAGTGTTTTAATCGTAAATCCTATTTTTTGTCTGTGCTTAATTTCTAAGATTTGATAGGAGATGCCAGTGAAAAGGGATATGAAGTCATAGGATTGTATAGAATTTTCTGACAACAGCTAGGCAGCTGATTTAGCTTTCAGAAGAGAGAGTTAACATGGGCTGTTTTATTTTTCATTCAGCACTGCAGGAGAAGGGAGGTCTACTGGTGCAATAAGCTTAGTACTTGGAGGTCACTTGTATGGTCAAATCTTGAGGTATTCAAAAGGATTTTTCCCTGGGTAAGGAGTGCAACATCAGTGTATCAGGCGTGAGAAAGGCAAAGATAATCCGTGGAGGATTTCTCAGGTGTCATAAGCTGCAAAACTTCTGGAGAAGAAAAAAAGCTATTTTGCTTCCTCTCTGCTACGGTACCAGGTGTTGCTGCCTTCCATACACTTACTGTAAAAGCATTTTGGAAGAACCAGAAGGGAGATCTAATTTAACAATCAAGTATTTCTACCATTCCCTGTTTCATGTCAGAGGAGTTGCTGGTGGAGTACTACTGTTGTGTGTAGGGAGTGGGGCTGAGGGAAATGCTGTATGGAGATGGGAGATGGCAGCTGTCTGGACCTCTTTGCTTAAAGCCAGTTTGCTTTGCTTCATTGCTTGTGTGGGAAAATACATTTTTTCTATATGTGAAGAATGGATTTTTCTGCCTGCTGAGCACAGGAAAGCTTCTGAATCTCTGCAAGAACATGCTATGAAATATATTTGTAGCCCATTAGGCCCAAGGACTTCAACACCTGCTGTACCACTGAGAAGGGGACAGTTTTTTGATGTGTGATGGTTTCATTCATGTGGTGCTTCCATTGTGTTTTGCAAGAGAACATGTAACTTTTAACGCTTTTAGCATGGGAAACTTAGCTCCCACAGAGAAGAGATGTAATTATCTGGTACAGAATTAACAAAAAACCCCTCTTTCAAGGTTTACATCTATGCTGAGCTTATTTTTGTTCATAGAATCATAGAATGGTTTGGGCTGGAAGGGACCTTTAAAGGTCATGTAGTCCAACCCCCCTGCAGTGAGCAGGGACGTCTTCAACGAGTTCAGGTTGCTCAGAGCCCTGTCCAACCCGACCTTGAATGTTTCCAGGGACGGGGCTTCTACCGCCTCTCTGGGCAGCCTGTTCCAGTGTTTCACCACCATCATTGTAAAAAATTTCTTCCTTACATATAGTCTGAATTTACCCTCCTTTAATTTAAAACCATTACCCTTTGTCCTATTGCTACAGGCCCTGCTAAAAAGTTTGTCCCCATTTTTCTTGCAAGCCCCCTTATGCATTTCTTAAGTGCATGCATTTCTACACATCTGAATTCAAAAGGGTAGACACATTCTTATAGTTTTGTTTTAAAAAAGAAATTTTTACAATTGTACAAACCTGGCATACGCTTTTTCATTCTTGCTGTCGTCAAAACAGATACCTCTTTCTGCAAACTCAGGAGCAAGAGTAGGTAGAAAGCTCAGCTCTTGAACTGACGAAACTGTACAGCAGTGAGCAAAATCTGAAACTTCCAAAGATGACGGAAGTTTTAAAATGAAGTTCCTCTAATTAAGGGGCATTTCAACTCTCACTTTCCAAAACAATTAGACGTCTTTTTCAAAACGTAGGAAGTACCAATATCTCTAAAATTTGAGCGTCTGCTGCTGCAAGTCTGATCAAAATATCCTTATGAGCCTCTGATACAGAAGGAAGGCTTATAAATCCCAGTTGTGTACATTTGTCTGACCTCTGGCACCAAGACAAAATGGACAGGTAAAAACCCTCAGATTTGACAAACTAGTCATTTTGGAAGAATGATGTTTTGCCATAAATGACTTGGAAAATTCAAAAGAGAATGACATGGATTTCATGTTTGCTTTCTTTACCCAAAGTTCTCTCATGAATTAATTCAAAGTAATAAGAATAGCCTCAGCAGCAGTAGTAGTAAGGAAAATAAACATACATATCTACATACGTATATTGGTGAACACTGTATCAGTAGTAATAATGCAAATAAACACATATATGCACATATGTAGTTTGGTGAACACCTATTAAAATGAAATAGCATAGAAATACTTGAAGCATATCATGATTTTCTTTTGATGAACTTGATTTTCATGATAATTTAAAAGATGACTAGAGAGTCATAGCTTGTCAGGAAAGTAAGCCAAAATAAATTACATCTTTATAATGTTCTTTACTACAAAATGCTCTAGGGAGCATACAAAGTTTCAAAACCCAATGCCTTTTCCCGTGATAGTTTCATCACAAAATAATAGCACTTTGTTGCAGACTATTTTAAATTATTTTAAATTAAAGACATAATTGGTGGGTGATAGTTTTTGAGAGCTAATCGTGAAGTGGCTGCTCCTTTGTTATGCACAACTAGTTTTCTAAGCAGTATTAATTATGTCACATTGTAAAATTCATTCCTGTTTAAATGGTGAAGTGACATAGAAGGAATTAATAATATTTTGAAACCATCGTTGCGATGGGCATCTGGCAGGTAGAAGATGAGGAGGAGTAAAACTGGAGAAAAATAGTGTATTAAAAGATCTGTTAATTAATCTGTACTATACTTTCCTAATCTTATTTTTTTATTATTATTATTCCATAGCCTCAGACCATTCGGCAAACTCTTCAAAGGACACTGCAATATTTTGAGCATCAAGTTATTGGGTAAGTGTTAATGTGAGGTAGTAAAAGGTGCATGGTAATATTTTGCTCTATACTTCCCGAGTCACAAACTTGCGTGACAAGCCTTTTAATTTTTCCCTCAGATTCTTAGAGGTGCTCTGGAGTAACTACGCATACTATGGACATTAAACTGCTGTCCAGTCCTGCTTCCATGCAATCCCATCAGGACATGACTGCTCCATTAATGATAATGTTTCCTATATAAGGAGAATAGGGAATCTTTTTGTAAAAGTATAATCTTGCAAGGTCCCACAACAGTGCTGCATATTTCTGGGTGTTTGCAGAAGCAGGACTGAAAACCACCTCATAAGAGTTCATTGAGAAAATTAGTATGGGATTGAGCAATAAAAAGTCTTTACCTGCACAAGTATTTGCCTTACCTGTGCAAGTATTTTACTTTCACAGATAACTTATTTTCCTAACAGGGTGAGAATACAATGGCTGCATGTCTATAGGCACTAAATGACTGTGTCATATGACAAATGAAGAATGCTGTCCTCTGAATTTAATTACACAGATGTAAGGGATTTTTTTTTCAGGCCCTGTTGAGGGTCTTTTTAGAATTTATGACATAGTTTCAAATCTCAGTGGACTGGGAAGAACTGTCCTTTGTAATAGGTTTGCGTGGCAAGGTTTTGGTAGCGGGTGGGTTACAGGGGTGGCTTCTGTGAGAAGCTGCTAGGAGTTTCCCCTATGTCCGATACAGCCGGCTTTAAGACGGACCCGCCGCTGGCCAAGGCCGAGCCAATCAGCAACAGCAGTAGCGCCTCTGTGATAATGAGTTTAAGAAAGGGAAAAGTTATTCCACAGCAGTAATTACAGTGAGAGAGAGGAATGAGAATATGTGAGAGAGATATTTCTGCACCCCCTGCAACCTGTGATGAAGACCATGGTGAGGCAGCCCATGGGCGGTGGAGCAGATACCTGCCTACACCCCATACCAAAGTAGGTGGATGCCTGAAGGAAGCTGTGACCCCGTGGGAAGCCTGCACCGGAGCAGGCTCCCGGCAGGACCTGTGGACCCATGGAGAGAGAGAAGCCCACGCTGGAGCAGGTTTCCCCACAGGGGACCCACACTAGAGCAGTCAGTTCCTAAAGGACTGCACCCCATGGAAGGGACCTAAGCTGGAGCATTTCATGAAGAGCTGCAGCCTGTGGGAAGGACTTACATTGGATAAATTTGTGAACTGTTTCCCAGAGAGGGACCCCATGCTGGAGTAGGGGAAGAGTGTGAGAAGTCCATCTCCTGAGGAGGAAGGAGCAGCAGGGACAATGTGTGATGAACTGACCACAACCCCCATTCCCTGCCCCCCTGCGCTGCTTGGAGGTAGAAGGTAGAGAAATTGTGAATAAAGTTAAGACTGGGAAGAAGGAAGGGGTGGGGGAAAAGTGTTTTAAGATTTGGTTTTATTTCTCATTACTCTTCTCTGAGTTGATTGGTAATAAATTACATTTTTCCCCAAGTGGAGTCTGTTTTGCCCATGACAGTAAATGCTGAGTGATCTCCCTGTCCTTATCTCGGCCCACGAGCCTGTTGTTATATTTTTCTCTCCCCTGTCCAGTTAAGGAGGGGGAGTGATATATTTGCTTTGGTGGGCCCCTGGCATCCAGCCAGGGTCAAACCACCACACCTTGACTGTTTCTCTATGTTTGGTTAAAATTCACAGGGAGCCCTAGCTTGGAGGGTGATACCTGCAATATTAGCAGTCTGGCTGGCACCTGAGGGCAGAGAGGAAGCCAGACTTGGCAGGCAGTTGTAACATCCGCTGTGGGGCAGGCTAAGGAGGAAGACTTCTGGCGGCTGTTTTTTCAGTTGCTGAAAAAATTGCTTGAAGTCTCACATTAGGAGACTTCAGAGGGTGATACAGTGCCTTGAGGAAATCATGTGGGTAATAACAATGCATCTTTTTATTTATGGCCACATGTGGCTTAGATGTACTTTTTTTAACGGACAAAATATAAAACCAGGACACTCTGAAACCTGTGATTCCTGTGAATTACAGTACACTGACTCAATATTTGAACATCACTATGAGTTGGTTAAAGTAGCATCTGTCTCTAGTGGATGTCCTATATTTGTCCTGCCCTGTGATCTTTACTGTTGGTTCACACTGTGGTGGGTTGACCTTGGCCAGCCGCCAGACCCCCCCACAGCTGCTCTGTTCTCTCCTTCGTACTCCTCAACAGGATGAGGGGAGAAAATAAGGTGAAAAAAGCCCATGGGTTTTGTTAAAGACACTCTTGATACCTGTACTTCCTCCTGCCCTGAGTGGCACAGGGGAATGGGGATGGGGACTGTGGTCAGTCCATAACAGCTCCTCTCTGCTGCTCCATCCTCCTCACGCTACTCCCTTGTTCTGGCCCAGGCTTTCCACAGGCTGCAGCTTCCTTCAGGGCACATCCATCTGCTCTGGTTTGGGGTCCTCCAAGAGCTGCAGGGTGGATATCTGCTCCACCATGAACCTCCATGGCCTGCAGGGGTGCAGCCTGCATCACCATGGTCTTCACCACACATTGCAGGGGAATCTCTGCTTCGGCACCTGGAGCACCTCCTCCCCCTCTTTCTGCACTGACCCTGGTGCCTGAGTTTCTCTCAGTTGTTTTCCTCACTTCTCAAACCTCCATGAGATGTTTTGCCCTTTCTACAATACACTTTCCCAGAGGCACCACCTGCTTGGCCAAGGGCCTCAGCTGTGCCCTGCGGTGGGGCCGCTGGAGCTGGCTGGCACTGGCTGTGCCCAGCATGGGGCAGCCCTGGCCTCTCTTCACAGAGGCCTCTGCAGGCCCCCTGCCAGCACCTGGGTGCTAACATCTGAGATAAATGTTCATCAAATCTCCCATTGTGGTCAAGACAGAATCATAGAATCATTGAATCATAGAATCATTTAGGTTGGAAAAGACCTTTAAGATCATTGAGTCCACCTTTTAACCTAGCACTGCCAAGTCCACCACTAAACCATGTCCCTAAGCACCACATCTACATGTCTTTTCAATACTCCAAGGATGGTGACTCAACCACTTGCCTGAACAGCCTGTTCCAATGCTTGACACCCCTTTCTGTGAAGAAATTTTCCCTACTATCCAATCTAAACCTTCCCTGGTGCAACTTGAGGCCAATTCCTCAAGTTACTTGGGAGAAGACACTGACCCCCACCTCACTACAACCTCCTTTCAGGTAGTTGTAGAGAGCAATTAGGTCTCCCCTCAGCCTCCTCTTCTCCAGACTAAACAACCCCTGTTCCCTCAGCCCCTCCTCATAAGACCTGTTCTCTAGACCCTTGACCAGCTTCGATGCTCTTCTCTGGACACACTCCAGCCCCTCAATGTCTTTCTTGTAGTGAGGGACCCAAAACTGCACACAGTATTCAAGGTGCAGCCTCATCAGTGCCGAGTACAGGGGCACGATCCCTTCCCTACTCCTGCTGGCCACACTATTGCTGATAGAGGCCAGGATGCTGTTGGTCTTCTTGGCCACCCAGGCACACTGCTGGCTCATGTTCAGCTGGCTGTTGACCAATACCCCCAGGTCCTTTTCCACTGAGCAGTTTTCCAGCCACTCATTCCCAAGCCTGTGGTGCTGCCTGGGGTTGTCGTGGCCGAAGTGCAGGACCTGGCACTTCAACTTGTTGAACATCAAGATCAGAGGTGAGGGGTGGCCATGGTGCCATTCAGGGACTCGGTGACGCTGTCTGGAGAGGCCTGACCTCCTGGTGTGGCAGTGGAGTTGAGCCATGACTTTGGGTTCTATGTCAACTTGGACAGTGTGTCGGGACATGGCCTTCTGCCAGGCACATGGCCTGGCATCAGTGGAGACCTGGAAAGCAGTGCTGACCATGCAGCTCACTGCAGAGTGCACCAGCACCCTTTGCCACCGTGTTTTCCTTGTTGAATATGAGCCCATTCTTCCCAATGTGTTTTACTCCACATGGAGAACCAGTTACCAGGATGCGCGGCTCTGAATCCTTTTTGGTCCTTTTCCACAGGTGCTGGCAACCCAGGTACTGAGATTTTGCAGACATTAACCAGATGAAGAGTCTAATCCTTAAAACTGCTATTCATGATTTAAGGAGTATAAACAAAGTATGAAAGCATAACAGAAGTGTTAATAAAATACTCATTAGAAAAGCTTTTCTCTGTGCATTGAGCTAAATTGATTTTATATTTTGCCAAGTGCATTATCACTCTGCTGCAATATTTTCTTCACTTTTATTCTGTCTTCTGTGCTTATTATCACCTGCATAAAGCTTTGTTCTAAACATAGTTTCAGCTTCTGTTCTGTTTCTGTTGAATTAAGGAAAAACAATCCAGCGAAATGAAATCAAATAGAATAATTTAGATGGTAGCTGCTTTCTTGTTGGTTGGACCATGGCTCTGTGCCTTTCGTCAGTGGTGGGATTCTTTTTAATTTTTCTTTAACAGGCTATAACAGAAACTTTATTCTTGATAGTATAGTGAGTTGCAGCTTGACATCCTTCTTTCTGTTGAGATCTTTTCAGAAGAAAATTCACAAAGAGAGCTAGGTTTTATACTTGCAGTGCTAATGTAACGTGATGTGGAAGATTTATTATTCTTGTTAGATACTCACCATTGCCTCATAAACATCTTGGAGTTTACTGTACAACTTTGTTATAGAAAACACCCCAGTCGGAAGGATATGTAAGACAGATATGTGTGATACCCTTCCTTCATGCCTCAGCCCTTTGATACTATTTTTTTCTTATGTCTTCATTCTCGTTACAGATAATATTCCAGATTCTAGTATAATACTTGAGATACCCAGGCTACTGATACAGTGTCATCTGCGTGTGATAATGCATGAATGGAAAGGGGGTGATGGAGGGGAGAAGAAGGAGGAGACAAGGGAGGCTAAAGGCATCCTTTACCACCACTTCTGAAAGACATTTGTTGACCTTGCATTTATATAAGGAGATGCTGGAACTTTTTTACTTTTTTTTTTGATGTAGTTACAGGGATGCAGAGAAGAACTTTCACAATATATCAAACAGATGCTCCTATACAGACTGCTCTGGCAATGAAGAAACTGAAGATGTCTCAGGAATTCTCCAGTGTACGGCTAATGTACTTGGTATGTATTTTTTCAATGGAATTTATTTCCTTTAGTTGGAAGGAAAGTTTACTGACCATCCCAATACCAACAATGAACCAAGGAATTTTTGCTCTAACAAAGGAAATGTAGGGTGTAGGCAACTACATATTAGTGCATTGTTACTGCATTTGTCTTCTCTTCTACATATATTTTGCGCCTTTGGGACAGTACAGACTGATTTTTCAGTGGAGTCAGTGGAGGTGCATTGTGCAGTACCCAGTGATTCGAGCAGTTTCAAAGGCTTTGAGTCCAAATGGACTTGCATCTGTGCAGGCCCTAGTCTTGGAATTATCTCAAGTGGTTTTATAGGGGTTCTACAGAACAACAGATACTCTTATTGTCTATGGGCATGGTGGATATGGTGGATAGAGGGCCTGAGAAACACAGAGCAGGACGTACCTGGGACATGAAACATTCTGGAAACTTACATTCATATTGAAGAATGCTTGCTGCAATAAACTTGTGAAATTTTGTGTGTCGAGATGATGCCATCCATCACTGAAGTGCAACTGTCTTAATAGGTGTCAGTATTACATAGCTGGCTATTTGCACCCATTCATATGATTTATCCAGCTTATTCTTCTTCCCAAGTTGTTAGTAAGCTTTACTAAAAAAAAAAAAAAAAAGTTACAGAATTTGACACTGGAAACTTAATTTTTGGCTGGGATTGTTTTAGCTGCTTCATTTCTATGAAACTAATCATATTCTTTGTTTTAGAGTAAACTTTACAGATAGAGCTTTAACCACTGGGCAATTGTCTACAGATTGAAGAGACTCATTATACCCCTCTACTCAGTACTTGTCAGACCACATTTGGATTACTGAATGCAATGTTGGGAACCAGGTTGCTCGTGGCTTTACCCAGTTCGGGTTAGAAACCTCCAAGGGTAGAGACTGCACACATGTTGCCTCTCTGGGCAACTTGTGCCTCTGCCTGACTGCCCTTATGGAGAAAAATACACAGTCTGAACATCTGCTGTTTCAACTTAGGCCCGTTGTCTCTAGTCCTCCTGGGCTGCACCACTGCAAAGAGCCCAGCTTGAAAGCCTCTCTGATTCTGGCCCAGCTAACATGAAGCAGCTGTTGATATCATGATGACATTTTTGCTAGTTGAGTACTGAGCTTTTTTCCCTGAACTTCTGTATAAGGCTCACAACACTTGGGGGTGTACTTTTTGCAATGAATCCCTCTTTGCTCTTCCATTTGAGGTCTCTACTACTCTACAGTAGGCTACTGAAGTTGGTGTGGAGGGCACGAAAGATGGCATTCTGTTTGATAATAAGGTTCCTTTCAGCTGATAATATACAGTATAAACCTGTGAATTTTTTATGGGATTATGGAGTTAAAGAGACTTCTTCAATAGGAGGCACAACACTGAAATCTGACCTTGTATGGTAATTAAACATGTAATTTACCTTCCATGGCAGGGGAATATGGTAAGGTAATATTCTGCCCACGTTGCTGTCTTGATCATCATATCCTGCTGACTGGAAATCCTTTTGGAGGTATATGCATTGCATGTCTGTGTGTTCTATCTCAAACTCTAAAACAGACTTGGTATGCTCTGTGAAACAGATAACATGTTCTAGTTGAGAGATGACTGTGTTTCACTGACATTCAAAATGCTTTCTTTTTGGTGTCAGGTGACTTATTCTGTAAGATGCTAGACACTGTCAGGGAGGTTCTGAGTGCTTTTAACTGCTGCTGGGAAGAGACAGTACTTGGTGCTTCGCACGTTTGGTCAAGGAGAGAATTTAGAACAAATTACATTGTAAATATGTCCGGTATTAGTTACCTTTTTTTGTTTGTTTGTTTGTTTGCATTTTAAAATAGTTGAATGCTAACTCTCAGAAACAAATGCTAGGAGTGATAAGTCAGGACTTACGCAAAGCAAAGACTTTTCATGTTATGATGTGCATATTAATATTATAAAAAAACAAATTAGACATTTTGTACTTACTTCACCATGACACAAAGTATGTGTTCTAAGAAACAGTTATGGATCCTTTTTCATCTTCAGAGTGCTTTTAAATCAATATGTTAGTTCTGGTCCCTCAGCATGGCTAAGTAATGTGCAGCCTGTTTTTTCAGTGGTATCCACACGGTCCATGTGTGTCAAGGGCAGATCAGACTGTTAGGATCACAGTGTAGGGATAACGTGTAAATGTTACTGTCTTGGAAAATTACTGAAGCGGACTTTGTTGAAAATAAGTTTGCGGAGACTTACTCTTGGAAAGCTCACCTTTTAAAGAATTAATTTGGGTTCATAACAAAAAAAAATTTCAATCTGAGCAAAACTGAGATAATTTAAAAGCAGTAGTTTTTCCTTCTTATCTGGGACAGGAACGTAAGGGAATGAGCAGAAAATGAGCTTCTTGGTTTTAATTGTAACTCTTATCAGAATAGGTAAATAATTAATGGAGGCTGCGTAATTAATTCTCACATACACAGTTATTTTTCTGGTTGAATAAGGATTAGTGAGAGCCACTTCTATGCAAGAAGGACGTAACCGCTGGGGTGTGTACCTAGAGCAATTGGCATTGCTGAGACAGGAGACTGTGATGGAGGTTAGAGAAACTGTTGAACCAAATCTGGCTCTCAGTTTATTTATATGAGCAGTAACAAGGACTTGATATCTAGGGCTGGAAGAAAGTGTTTCCTTAAAAGTGCTTGGAAGCAACTTCCTGCTCTCTTACCTTAGATAATGCCAACATGATTCACCTCTCCTGACCCTCTAACTGCCTCTAAAATAGTCATTTGCTATTCCTTATTAATCAGAAGATAGCAAATGCTGAGATCATTAGTAAGCTTGGAAGATTATGAGCGGATGTTTTGCACCGTGGTCCTTGTGCTCATGCTGCACACAGGAAAGTGCTGACTGCAAGCTGTACTCTCAGCTCGATGCATGTGATTTATCATGTATGAATACTAGTATTTTCCTCCTTTCAAGGCATCACTAAAGTGTGACACCATCTTCCTGCAGTGGAAGGACCTCATTCTGCTCATCTCCTCACTGAGTTGCTCCTGCTACAAGTCTAAACATCAATAGATTTCTTCCTGCTTTAATCCACTGTAATTAAGGGAGCCATGTCCACCATGCTCACATGCTGTAAACCATGTCTGATACCAGATCACTGGCACAGCTTTCCTTTATGGTGACAGCTTCTGAGGCTGGAATATTTAATTTAACTTTGTATCCTTCCTGAAATAGTCCAGACAGATTTATGATGGACTCTGCTTTCTTTATGTGGTGTGTGCACACTTTTACAGAGTCCTTCATAAGCATATAGCATCACAGAATCATTTAGGTTGGAAAGGATATTTACGAGCAATCAAGTCCAACCACTAACCTAGCCCTTCCAAGCCCACCACTACATCATGTCCCTAAGCGCTACATCTACATGTCTTTTAAATACCTCCAGGGATGGTGACTCCGCCACTTCATCAAAGACTCCATCAACCACAAGATTTGTGCTCTAGACCCTTTACCAGCTTCGTTGCTCTTCTCTGGACATGCTCCAGCACCTCAATGTCTTTCTTGTAGTGAGTGAGGGGTCCAAAACTGAACATCGTATTCGAGATGTGGCCTCAGCAGTGCTGCACCAGAGTACAGGGGGACAATCACTTCCCTAGTCCTATCATCTGAAGGAAAACGAAGTGACAATATAGTGGAAGTTGGGTAATAGTGAAGAGAAATCCTGACTTCTAAAGGGAGCCTTTATAAAGTTCCTAGCTGGAAATAAAATATTTAAAAGAATAAGCACTCGTGTGTTTTGCCCTGTTGACACAGACAATGCTTTTAGCTGGCTAGCTAAGCTGTGTTCAGAGCAGATTGGTGGTGTTAGTTTGATCTTATTTTAGAAGTGATGATAAGAAAACTATTCCTGTGATGAAGTATATTATGTGGATGAATGCCACATTTCTTCATTAGGTGACTGTAAATTTATACTGAGGTATGTTAGAGAGAAAGATTGTATATGAAGAGATTTCTTATTTGACCTTGGGCACTTTTTATTCTTTCTGTGCCTCAATTTCACATCTGTATAATGGAGATAACAGGGGGGTTTTAATCCTTTAAACCATACGTCAGTGCTCCTCAGTTTATAACCTTCTCAAAGCAAAGACATTTTCATATTATTTGTACATTCAGCATTTTGAGCAATGATAGACAAATCTTGTTTGGGACTTCTTTTGTCCTCATAATTTAAAATAATTTGATTTCAAGTTAGGTAGAGTGTGCACTTTGACTTAATTGCAGCTGAGTCAGAACAAAGGAGAAGACTTCCAGGTAGGTGCAAATTAAAGCTTTGGCAACGGGAAAATAAGGATGAAAACTTCTTTTGTTAGTCTGTAATTCCTACTGTAAGGAATTTATTTTGGGACATAAAGCCTTCATGACATGACTCTTGCTTGTCTTTTGGGTAGATATTCCACACAGATCTGTGCTACTGAGCTTTATGAAGCAAAACAGAAATACCAAGTTTTCATTTTTCAACTCTACTGTGTACTTCTAGTATATCCCATGTTGTTTCTCACATCCCAAATGCACAAACTGGATAAAAATTGTGCAGCCTTCATGTCACCTCCTCCAAACTTGTTTCAAACACTGCGCACAATTCATGTAGCCTTTGTGGATGTGAAGTATTTTTCACTCTTATTTCAGTCCTTCACAAAAAAAAAGGGAGTTTTTGTTGTGCAAAATTTGCAAGAGGTAGATGTTCATACCCAGTCTTTAATGGTCTTTGAAAGCCTATTTGCGTATTAGACTGCAATATCTAAATTGTATATACTGCAGCACCATGGTATATATACTGCATAAATAACACTTGCGACACCTTGGGTGCACAGCCTGAAGTTACAAATGCACTTGTATCAGATAGTTATTTCAGCAAGGAGGCCTGAAGAAATAATCGCAACTGTCTGACTTTCCTTTGCTTAAGATACAGAAAAACATTGTCGCCCTTTTTTTTATTCAAGAA